AAGAATGGAACCGGTGGCGGCTGCCGACGCCCGGCCTGCACCCCCAGGAACCAATCATCCAGCCTCGAGCGATCGGGAGAAGGCGGAGGCCTCCAGTGCAGCCCGACACTCTCAGCGGCCCGGAAAGCATAGTGGTCAGCTCTGGATCTGACTTGGGCAACGCCACTCTTCCTGACGGTGGCAGCGCAGCCGAATCCTCATCTCCAGAGCCTAGCTCGCCCTCCGATGCAGCGATCGACATCCTGTCCTCTGCCTGTGTCCCGCACAAGATGTTGGACCCCGCCCTGTCCGAGGACCCAGCACATTCGTCCGGAAGCACCAGGTGGTGCGACAGGCTTGAGGAATGAGAGGCCCACGGAGACGTACCGAAAAGCTGATGTGCGTTTGCGAAACACGCACGCCAACTGTCATTGGCTTGTTTAGTTAACACTCAAAGGTGATTGGGCTCTCGGGCGAGATCCCAATTCGTAACATAGAACGTGACTGACTGAGAGGGAACCGGCTTTACTGATAAGATGCGCATTAAGTATCACATGCGATTTATCGTGCAGCCCTAACTACAGTTCAAAGGCAACAGCAAGACAACCCATAAAAAGTGCATGGTTTTTCAGCTAGTGGCCAGACAACTGCTCTTGGCTTATTCTTCCTGACTGACCTGCCTCTGGCTTTGTGTATTGTTATGGCCCTTGTCAATATTTATAGCATGAGGCTGCCTGCAACTAGGGCTGGGTGATATGGCCAAAAAAAAAAATCGTATCTCTATTTTTTGGCTGAAATGCAATATACGGTATATATATTGGAGGAAGTCGTGGCCTAATGGTCAGAGTCGGACTCGTAACCTAAAAGGTTGTGGGTTCGAGTCTCGTACCGGCAGGGATTGTAGGTGGAGGGAGTGAATGTACAGCGCTCTCTCCCACCTTCAATACCACGACTGAGGTAACCCCCTCGAACCCCCAACTGCTCCCCGGGTGCCGCAGCATAAATAGCTGCTCACTGCTCCGGGTGTGTGTTCATGGTTGTGTGTGTGCACTTAGGATGGGATAAATGCAGAGCACTAATTCTGAGTATGGGTCACCATACTTGGCCACATGTCACTTCACTTTCATATATTGGTATTTTCTACTTGGATATATACTGGATATGTACTATATATATACTAATATATATATATTCCCATCTTGTGCGCAACAGTAGCACTGCTTTACAATTAACAAATGCATTTACATCATTTGAAAATACCTGCAGAGTCAGATTGAGAATGCTGCAGTTTCTTAAGTGTCATGTGATTTTCTGGAAAACGGCAGCCTACAGCACAGTTTCTTAAGTGTCATGTGATTTTCTGGAAAACAGCAGCCTACATCCCCCCTCTGACTGGCTGAAATGTAGAGATGCATACTGTGAGTCCAAGTATTTAAGACCACTGCAAAGTGTACCATAGCAAAAGAACACAGTGCTCCTTCATCATCATCATCGGACACATCTCTGCTTTTTGGAATCCAGATTCACCTCAGGTTTGTCAGAAATTACTTTATTACATTTAGGGGAGAGCGGTGAGTGTTGTAACTGGGTGAGTTGTTAATAACTGAAACTGAAATTTCCAATAATAAAAGAAAAATTAAATTAAAACTAGCTCCAAAAAAAAAACTATTAAGCATTGCTTCAAACCAAATTAAAATGAAACCGAAATCATAAGCTATTTTTTGTTTTGTTTTAATTTTTAATATATTGGTCTACCACTTCACCAGGACAAGTGGTTTGGAAAATGAATGGATATTTTTTACATACTTTTACAGAAATTGTATTGCATGTGTGCTGTGCCCACATTCGGTTATGTGCTCAGTTTTTAAGATAAATGGATTATTATCATCATCATCCAATGCATTTATTTTTCCCATCATATAATCATGTAAAACAAAAAGAGGTTGACGGCAAAAATCAAATAAATAAATTATAACTAATGTAAAAAAACTTGAAAGTGACGTGACGTGGGCAAGTATGGTTACCCATACTCAGAATTAGTGCTCTGCATCAGTGTTGCCAGACGTACGATTATTATCATATTTGTACGATAATTTTGACCTCTCTATGATGTATGATGAATAATGAAAAAAATCCCATAATGTACGATAATTTTATGACAATTTAAATCATGGTAGTTGTAGTCATAGGGCTTCTATATTCATACATTAAATCAGCTCATTACAGACACTCCTAATGCGCTCGTGCACACCTCAGAGTGTGTTAAGAATGCATGAGGGTGCCCTGCTTTAAAGCCTATGTTGCGGTCCATGACGGCAAGAACCCCCCAACATCTTGCAACACACAGGCTTCCGATGACAGCGGCTCAGATGTGGAGTTAACAGCTAAAGTCTGTCTACACTGGAAACGACAAAGACAGTGTTAAAAATCATTTTAATACGTCATAAATAGAACGAGGCATCAGTTTACTGTCGGGGATGTGTCGTGTCGTGTCGCATCCAGTGCAAACAGTCACTGATTATAATGGTTTCGATAGTGTTTTGTTGCACTGCTCGTGTCCAATGTAAACACGGTACGCCTAGTTATCTATTGTGGTCATTTGCAGGTCGTGTCAAAAAGTTGTTGGTTTAGATAAATAGCTGTATTCTGTACGTTTGACTCGTGTACGATAATTTTCTTCCAAATATGATAATTTTGAGCTTCTGGTACGATACTTGGACATTTCCAATCTGGCAACACTGCTCTGCATTTAACCCATCCTAAGTGGACACACACACCGTGAACACACAACTGGAGCAGTGGGCAGCCATTCTTTTGCTGTAATGTGTCAGTAGGAAATATAAGTTTGCATTTATAATATTATAAAACACGTCATATTCATTAAAACTTTATTTTTTAGGATTTTAAATGACTTTTTATATTAAATCAAAGTCACACTGAGGAAAGTAAAAAACAGGAGAATTATTAGAAATTTCTTGGGAGGAGTATGCAAATTTAAGGCGGTTTAAATTTAATCGATCGTTCATCACGTGACAGACCCATACGCTTACCCAATGCAGTCTGAGCCGGAAAGATAATTGATTAGTTAATCTCTCGAGTCTTCGGGTTTGAGTCGTTCGTTCATCACGTGACAGCCCCATAAACCCAAACCCGAAGACTTGTCAGATAAGAGGAGGTGAGCAAATCATAGACTGAAGACCCAGGTAAACAATGAATTCATCTTTTCTGTTTCTTATAGCAGTTTTGTATTGTTTGTAGTGTAATCAACGTTTGTGTAAGTAGTAGACGTGTTAGGGAAGTAACACGTAACATTTTAATTATATTTTGTTAAAATAAACGAAATGACTCAAAAAAAGATTCGTTAATTTTGCTGAACGAGACTCAAAGGTCCGAGTCGGTAAAATGATCCGAACTTCCCATCACTAATTTAAACTAGGCTATACTGTATAGCTGTGTGTTTGGATCAGGGCCGTCTCAAGCATGGTTGCAATGTGTTCGTTGTCAAATTCTTTAAAAAAACGCCATTATTTTATTTGAAAGGTTAATAATTTTTTTTTATTGACATATTTTAGTTTGTCTTGTATATATTTTTTTCATTAGATCAGCTAACATTTTAAGCTGTGATATGTTACAACGTTACAATGTACCCCACCTACGGGGCATGTTGTCACACTTCCATTTTTTTGAGTTAACTAAAGAAAAACATTTACAGTGTAATTATGAAACAAAGTGACATATTTGTACTAGACAAGTGTGAAATTAATGCAGAATTATACTCTGAACCCCATGTGGATTTACACAAACGGAGAACGTCAAAGTGTTAGGTCGTGCCCTGCGCTCCCCTACTCTGAAAAAATTATTTTGTTACTTGTCCAATTTACTTAATTTAAACAAGATATTTCAACACAATTTTTAAAAACATTTGTCACAACATAATTTTTTGATGTTCACCCATGTAACTTAATCTTTCAAAAAACTCATAACGCCAAGGCACTCGAAAATATAATGAAAAATAAAAAGCCTTTATTCTCACACGGCTTTACATTAAAAACAAATCACAAGTACGCTTTGTGGCTATCAAGCCTTCATTAGGGTGTCAACTGACAAAGGCTTTTTATTTTTCATTATATTTTCGAGTGCCTTGGCATTCTTAATTTTTGATTAATTAAAAAAATCCTGTATCCAAAGAGCACTGATTTATGGAATTTATACCCCAGTAGCATTTCTTGCATATTTTTGATGCATGTAACTTAATCCATTCAAGTTGGAATTACATTAATAATTTTTGTTGTGTTAACATAGGATTTTTCAAACTGGGCAGAGGATTTCCCAGCATGCATTGCATAAGACTGCATTTTGAGAGTAATTTTCTCAGTCAAGTGTTGTTTCATGTATCTTTCAGTAAAGAGAAAGACTTTGAGATTTAGAAGAGTTTGGTATATTTTTGAGTTATGTTTTTACCATTGTTCAGAAGCAGGTGCGCCGCTAGGTATTCTGGGCCCCGTCTAAATTTTAACCTGAGCCACGATCGCGTTCTGGGGGGTCCCCCGCTTGTCTGTTCGCGATTGCGTTGCGAGGTTCGATCGCAGCGCAGATGGCAGCGCCCCCAAAAGTGCGTGGGCTCTTATAATCGTATTGAACCCCCCCCCTACAGCGCCCCTTTTCGGAGTAGTGCCTTTGCTTTGGCTGTGTGCGGTTACTTTTTTTAAACATTCCATTGAGCTCTGTTAATATAACAGTTTTGTGTAAAAGATACATGAAAGTCAGATTAACTAAAAATATAAATTGAGAACTTGAATCAAAATATGAAACTTTCACATATAAAAGTCATGTTTATTTAACATGCTGAGTAAACATAACCAATTTTTTATGTTAAAATCCAACAGTACTAAGAAACGTTATCTGATTACTTAAAATATAATACAAAAGGAGGTGATTGTAAATTCACACCTTCGGCTACAAAACTTTTTTAGGCTTATATTCTGTTGATTCTTCTTACATCACATCTTTTCTCATTATTTTAGAGTCCTTACAGTTGGATGCTTCGCCAGTGAACGTTCATTAAACAAACATGGCTAATACCACAGGTAAGACACCTTCCAATTTCAACTCATTCATTTAGCCTGAAATAACAGTTCTGTGCAGAGGTGGACAGTACTCAAGTGTTTTTACTCAATCAAAAATACATTTTCAAGTATCTGGAGTTTCTACTTTACTACATAAAATTTAGATAAAACATATAATTCCTTTTACTCCACTACATCTCATAAATACATGTTGTTTTTTTACCTTTAATACTTGAGAACATCAAAACTCTAGTACTTTTTTACATTTCACGAGGTTGCATCAAAGTCCATTTACGGAAGTTGTGCCACTCGGTGGCCATTTTTGCAACATCTCTGGGCAGTTACTTACGTCATACTGGCAAGACGTGAATGGGGAAGACTGCTCTGAGTTTGCTTGTGGCCAAATATTAACATTAAATGGATTTAAGCGTCATTGAATCACGCTGTAAAGTGAATCATCTCTGGGCCGTTGGCGCCCTCTGCAGGTATTTGTAAAGATACTTAATGTACTTAAGTTGGTTATAGGCATATTACTTTATTTTAACAGTGTTGTTCAATAAAGCCATGCGTACTTGGCTTTGATACTTTATTTGAATGAATTATTGTCTCATCGTTAGTTTAATATATATAAATGTAGTCATACTAAAGTCTGTTTTTCACTTAGGTCTATTTTTATAACTAAAAAATATTAGATTACTCAATTGTCAAAATAATCAGTAGATTACTTGATTACCAAAATAATTGTTGTTACGGCTCTAGACTAGTTAAAATATTTCAAAATACAACTACATACAGCTCAGCATTTTTGCCTTTTTGTGATTTAAAAGACAAATATTTTGTCATTGAATATTTCTTAAAATAGTATTTAAAAATTTGTTGCAATCTATTAAACCAAGTATCTGTATTTTGTCTCATCTCGTGAGCAAAGTGTATGATGAAGCTTTCACTCTTCAGGTTAATTATATATTCATGAAAAAATAAAAAATCAGTTTGAATAAGGAAAGCGATAACTTTGCCATAGTATCCTTTCAAATGTTAAAGTTGTCACAGTCATTACATGCTTTGCATGTGTTGCACGTTATTTGTACCATTTTGTTTTATTAGTTTATTCGAATTTGAAAGATAATAACAATATTGTGATCTCTGATTTTAGTCCTTGAAAACCAAAAAAGTAGTCCTTGAAAGTCCTGGAATTTCATTTAGCAGTTTCTGTACGAACCCTGTGTACCTCGACGTTTGTTTCTGAAGCTTAGATTGAGCTTAAAATCAAGGTTTTTCAAGGTCGCTTCAGTTACTGGCCATGCGCACAGGCTGACAAGCACCTCACAAGAACCTCGCCCCAAAGATTGACAATTGGTGGTTTTTACTGGAAAGTGGGACTAGCTTTGCTAGAGCAGCCATATTGAGCTTTTGCATTCCCTCAACCACTAATTGTAATGACAGTGGCACATCTTGTTAATATTTATTAACTTTGGTTAGATTTAAAGGGGTTGGGTTGAGGCTCCCCTCGTTCAGATTAGAATGGAAATTGTTGCTCTAAAATCTCAGTTGGCGTGCCCCAATGTGCCACCTAAACAAGATTTTAGTCTGTTACTAACCTAATCGCAGAATTTTGCAGTTTATTATAAATAATGTATCCGTGCGAGTCATTATATAAAAAAATAATAAGTGCCCCCATAATCTTTAATCAAAACCGGAAAAAAATGCCCTTTTTCATGGTGATCGTTCTCTGATGATGCCAGTTTGATGGCTTGGACAGAACTTCCGTTAACTCCTGCCATTTCAAAACAAACACCTGTTTTACACATCCAATTACAGAATACAGAAATAAGAAACCTTACCTGGCAAGAGATGAGACACAGCAACGGTGTGGGAGATCTGACTACAGGTTCCCATTGAAAATAGGGAAATATGGTGTTTTATGAAGAACACAGCACTATGGGGTTCATGTGCCTATACAGAAGCCCCCTGAATCTTTTGCAAACTTCCCTTAAATACCCCTTCACATGAAGACATTATTTACATAAGAAGGGACCCTGGACCTGATCAGGTCACAAATCGGTATTTACATGAAAGACCCCAGAAAGGACACACTCAAAATCAACAGAATATCTTTAAACTCTCAAAACTTTATTATGATCTGCTCTACTGTTGAGGAGATGAGATCATTTTACCAATCGCATCAAATGACATGAAAATATAGATTCTTTGTTTACGTAAAATGTGGTCTTTTGGTGCGAAACCTTGGCACAGACCTTACAGCTGTGTTGCGTTGCGCTGATAAACATATATAAGAAGACATTGCTGCAGTGCATGCTGCTCATTTAGAAACACTGATGGTAGTCAGTGGTAGTTTTTTTTGGTAGTTATGTTAGCACATGAATATGTGCTATTTGTAGCTATAGCTGTTAAATTCACTGCTGATGCCACTTTGTATTTTCTCTTTTTATTGCAGAATCCTCTGGAGAGCTGATAAATGCTGAGTTAGGTATGTTTATTCTGAAACAAAGCAAACACAATCACAAAAGTCATCGTAACACTTTATAAATCATAATGTTTGACTAATCATGACTTAATATCAAGGGCGTACATTTAATCTTAACAGTAGGGGGGACAATAAACAAAATTTCTCAAGAGCAATTTTTTGTAAGGATAAATAAATGTGTGCATAGCATGTGTACATGGCACAGAGACCACGTTTAACTCTTTCCCCGCCATTGACGAGTTATCTTTAGACATGTTTTTACGGCTTTTCGTGTTTTCACTGTTATACACTCGGGGGCGCTATTACACATCTTCTGAACGAGTACAAAACCTCCCGAACAAAAACACGTGTACAGGACGGAGAAACGAGCGATCTCTTTTGTAAACAGATGCATATGAAAAATAATGCGATCATCAGCCATGGCAGCATATAAATGAAAACGGCATAATGTTACGGAGTAAAATGTTGATCCAAGAATATGTCTGTGCAAGCTTTGGAGGTGTTGTTGGAAGCGATTTACTGGATTTATGCTTTGATAATCGTACTGAATATTACCCAGATGTAGTTTTTGATAAAAATGCGATTTTCTCACCTTTTTGCTCAAAATTAAGCATTTTTATGAAACGTACCTATATTCAAGTGTTGATAAAAAAAAAGAAAGCTTTAAGCTAGAATAAAACAGTTTTTTTGTTTAAAAGTAGAGGCTCTGATCTTCTTTAATATACTGGAGGCCATCATATTTTTGTGAAAATCATCAAAATCGCTGGCGGTGGCTGGCAACTTTTTTCAAAAATGCTGGCGGGGAAAGAGTTAAATATGAGTTCGGTTCATAGGTTCACCACATTGCGCTTTCTGCCGTCCCCGTGTATAACTTTGCCTTACAGACATAAAAATATATCTATGGATAGTGAAATGTCTACTTTCAAATAAAGCAATTCAAATGGAAAACATTCTCAGATTATGTAATCCGTATGAAACATGCACACATGTCTGTGTGTTGACGTCATCTCTTAAGCCGAAAACAAAGAAAGCACTTGTTTATCAGTGAATTATTAAAATGGTAATGCACCCTCCGCACTGTTTTTTCCCTGACACATTCATAATCATAGCTTCTGCGGTGCGCTGTGGCAAGCTTTATGCGTGTGCTTGAGCACTTATGGCTATGTAGGCAATTAAATGCATATTATAATGATTTAAATGGTTTATTAATAAACATGCGATTAGTCGAGTAATGCTTAAAATGAACGACTACTAGTTGACCAGAAAAATCTTTAATCAAGGGCAGCCCTACAATATATATATATATATATATGCACATGCATACATACATTTATGTATATCATTTAAAAGGTTGTTATAAAAACTTTGTTTATATTCTACACAAATGTATAATGTATTTATAATTTTGGCAATGTGATTCTCTGTAGATAAATGTCACGTAGCTGACACGTTCTTCACATGCTGTTATACTTATAATTTCCCTGGTTGAAACAGCTTATATTAAATTAAAGGACGTAGAATTTAGTAGGGGCGCAACTGGATTGTTCCTAGCAATAATTTTGGTCAAACAATTAAAATATATTTATATGTAACCACTGTCATTGTCATCATACCACGGACATTAAAAAAAAAAAAAATCACGGAAAAAAATTTAAATTTTTTTCTGAAATTAATCGCAATTAATCCCACCTAACATTAACGTTTTTAATTATACTTTTATATTGCAATAATGTCATACTCAATCTTCAAATTAATGTAGAAACATCAAAGTATATTTTTCATATTTGTTTAATGCCATCTTTTTTTATGACTGAAGGCAAGTATCACTGATACCAACTGATGTATGGATTTTTTTCCCTAATATTTAACCATTGACTATAGCCATTCAACATTACAGTATACATTTATAAGACTTTTAAAAATAACTTATAATTTAAGTGAACTTAAAGGCACAATATGTAATTTTCGCCGCTGGAGGGCACGTATTCAAAATAAACAAAGAGACAAAGGTGTAGTTTGATGATGCCGTGACTGAGTGTGGAATCATGGGAGTTGTGGTCTTCATCTCCACAGCCGATGCAATCCGACGGGACTCGGGCAGAAATCATGTTCATGGATGAGCTAATGATTTATTAACGTAGTAGAATGAAGCAGAGTGAGGCTGAAAGCCGTCGAAGCGAAACAAGGCGCTGAACGAGCGTGACACACGGCTCGAAAGCAGCGGAGCTTTTATTATGCCACAGTCGAGCGCTTCCGCTGCTTCCGGTCTTGCGTGTGTGAGGTAAAGCAGCGGAGCTTTTATAATGCCACAGTCGAGTGTTTCCGCTGCTTCCGGTCGTGCGTATGTGGGGTAAAGCAGCAGAGCTTTTTTTATGCCACAGTCGATCGCTT